AATAATTTTTACATATTATAAATTTTTAAAAGAATCAGCTTTGACACTATAATGCAAATTTAATTAAATAATACAAAATTTACATGTAATAGAGAATAAACAAAAAAATACATCAAGAACTATATGACAAACAGAAACAAAGAAGATAAACAAATACAACAAACAACAATAATAACTAACAATAATAAAAAAACAACAAGTTATGTAAAGTAATATTTAGTAATAATCAATGAAAGAGAGATTAAGAAGTTAGAAACTAAAATACAAATAAAAATACTTTATAAAAATATTCTTATAGAGCAAATATTAGCAAAATATGCTAGAAGAAAACTTATTATAGAAGAAGAAGCTAAAGTACAAATGGAAGAACTTTATAAAAAATTATGATAATATAATTTAGAAAATTTTAATTATACAAAACTTGCACTTAGAAAAAGAAACAATATAATTATCTTATAGCAATACAAAGAAGAAAAGATCTAGTTAGTTTTATCATATATGCAGAAATAGACAATATTATAGTTAACTTAGATATGGCCAATAGGATAAGATAGATAATAGATAATAAGAAAAAACAAGCTGCTAAAATGAAGTCAAAATTAGAATTAGATTAAAGCAAAAAAATTAACAAAGACAGCACAACAAAACAGCTTTGAAGACAATAATACAACTCAATAAATCTGTTGAGACTCTCACAACAAACTAGCACAAAATAAGAAGAAAAACTAAAGAAGAAAAGAGAAAGATACAAGTTTGATAAAAGAAAAAACAAGCTGCTAAAATAAAGTTGAAGCTAGAATTAGATTGGAACAAAAAATTTTAAAAACAAAAAAAAATTTAACAAAGACAGTATAACAAAACAATATTGAAGATATTAGTACAACTATTTAAAGAATCTGTCAAAACTGTTATAGCAAACCAGTATGAAAAAAAAAACCAAATAAGAAAAGAGAAATAAAATCAAAAACAAAATACTGTAAACCTTACAAAAGCAAAAATCTTAAACAAGATTTGAGAAAAAACAAGACCTAATTGCATTAACAACTTTAATAGAAGAAATAATATATTAAGCAAACAAAGAAAACTCACAAATTAATAACAAAAATTGAAAAAAGAAGAAAAAATATTTGCTAATAGAATAGATATAATAGGCATGATTCTAATAGATTATTAATACAAGTTTAATTTAAGATATATTAGCAAGAAGATCAAAAAAAGTCAAGAATTAAAAAAAAAGAAGAATATAGTATTAGAGATAGTAGAAAAGATTTAGTAGAATTGTTTAGGAATTAGAAAGCTTTTATTAAAATACAAGAAAAATTTCTAGAAAAAAACCAAATTCTAAAAAGAAAAATCCAAAACAGAAAAAAAAGAAAACTCAATAGACTAATTAAGACTTAGAAACAAAAAGACCAAAAGAAACCCAAGACAGTTAAAAAAAAAAAAGTCCACAAAAGAATACCTTTAGAAAAGACTCCTAAAATAAGCTTTTTGAAAAAAGAAAAAGAATATGAAGTTATAAAATGAAAAGAAAATGCAAAGAGAAGGGTATAAAAAACCTTCTGAGAGCTAAATCACTAATCGAAAAGGACAAAATGAATTGAAAGAAAAGAAGAAGGAAGCTCAAGTATAAACTAAAAAATTTTGGCAATAATCCTTTAGTGAAAGATAAAATAGAATTAGATATTAATATAAAACTAGAATTAGATTATTGTTTTAAAGTGAAGGATATTTTAGAAGGGAGAAATTGTTAATTAAATATAGTTAAAAATTCTTTTAAAATAAAATTATCTTGTTATGTTTGCTAACTAGTTTAGTATAATTCCAGTATAAACAATTACCTTAACTAGTATAGCAGACCACACTTGGGTACCCATAGAAGAAGCCAAGTAATGTCAGATCTAAAAACTTAGATAGTTTAGATGTACTTGTATATTTGCTTTGATCTAATAAAGATACCAGTGAGACTACTGATAATTAAAAAAAAAAGATATTCTAAGCTATTTTGTACTGTAGTATAACAAATCGGTTGACTATTATAGTTACCAAAATCTATATAAATAATATCTTAAATAAAAATAAATGACCAAAAGATTATCTTAATATTAAAAAAAAATTTTTTTAAAATTTAATATAGATTATAATCAATTAATTTACATGTCTAACTTTTAAACAAAATTTTTAAATAAACAATAATTAAATAATATATATATAGCTAATTATACTTTTATTATTTAATATAAATAAGCTTTTATATATTCAAAACTTTAATAAAAAACTATAAAGATAACTTCATTTTTAAGTTTAGTAAAATATATCTATGGTGTTTATAGTGTACTGACCAAAGTATCCCTTTTTCAATATCCCCTTTTCAATATCCCCTTGAGTGCAAAACACGAGATCTCTATTAATTAAATATAAGTTTTTTTTTTAAATTTTTAGACTGCTTATCATGAATGCGAAGTATGTATATAAATGAAATTTCTCTTTCTTGCAACATAGGCCTACTGCTGTATAATATACCCGGATCTTTTGTAAGTTTCTTGATGGGTATTTTGTATTAGACCCCGGTCTTTTGGTCAGTGCACTACGGTAACATTTTTTTGCCAAAATTTAAAATTAATAAATATTTTTGCTTAGTATTCCTGACTTGAGTTAGCTAGTAGGTTTTGAGATATAGCACCCGGTGATAATCACCACCGGTTATAGTTACCAAAATCCATAGTTATAAATTAAAATCAAATTTAAAAGTTCAAATATGATTTTTGAAAATTCTAAATAATTTTATTTAATATATCTGACCATGGTCAAATAGACAGGTTTTGAGATATAGCAACAGTGTTAACCACCTATAATAAATGCTAACTGCTGACAATTTAAGGGATAGTATTCGTTCATCCTTTAAACAATTTTAAGAATTAAAAATCAATACTCGTCTAAAACACGTATTGAAAACTTTCTCACATTTTTTTTCTTAGTGTGGGAAATGATGATCGATGAAAAACTATAAATGATCGTAGAAGAAATAGAATGTAGAAACTTTATGATAATCATGTATTGTACGTTGTTAGGAGTTTATACTTTCTCTATTAAAGACTTCAAAGGAAAAAAGATTGTACGCGACTTTAGACTTCCATACTTGGATAGCTTCTATCAGTATACAGACGGTTGAATGTTTTAACTTTAAATCAAACATAAAAATTCATAAAATCCATGTCAACTCTCCTTAAAGCCATTATCTGTTCTTGACAGCAAAAAATTTAATGAATGGATGAGTCACCGAATTATGAGCAAAATTCCGTAATACCATGGTATAGGAAACCATCAGCATATTGGATCATACTGCCTCTCTTTTTTTTAACAATTACCTGGAGCCTTTGGCTTGCACCTTCTGTAGAATTAAATGTGAAAATAGTATGCTACCATTATTACAAATCAAGATCTCCGTTTAATGATACTGGCGATGTAGTTGAAGATTGTAATAGCAAAGAAGTTCAATCTATGGCATCAAAATTTCTTGCAATGTTAAATTTATGTTCCGCAATACCTGGTGAGTTGAAAAAAATAAATACGTACTGATAATTAATAATAATCTAATCTATTTTTTATAATCATAGCCATATTTAGAGCAGGTCCGTATGGTTCTCTATCAGATCGACGAGGTCGTCGTATTGTTCTTCTTTTACCCACTATCGGTGCCGTTATAAGCACTATAATTAATATTCTTGTAGGGACGTACTATAAATCTCTTAGTTTATACTTCTTAGTAGTAAGTCCACTAATTGATGGCATAACTGGAGGTTTTTTACCCGTTAAAGCAGCATTTTACGCCTATGCCACCGACTGTACACCTATAGAGCGTAGGTAAGTAACTTATAATATTCGAATAATGAAATAAATTTATTTAAAATTATTTAAAATTATTAAGGTGCGTACTGTAATTTTGACTTTTTTTTTCTTTTTGTAATACAAATGTTGTAGGAACATAGTATTTTCACGATTACAATCTGCGATATTTATAGGATTCGCAATTGGCCCTTTATTGGGTGGAATAATTCTCAAGTTTACAGACAATCTTTTGTCCGGATTCTATGTCAACCTTACGATATACATAGCCTTTTGTATATTTGTCATCTTTATCCTACCAGAATCACTTTCTAAGGAAACTAGTGATAAAAATATTTTGCAACAAAAACATATGAAAGATGCATTAAAAAGGAAGAGTAAGCATTTTATATGGATTTGGCATATAATTGATATGTTTAAACCTTTGCTATTATTTCTTCCGCGTAAAACTAGAATCCAGAGTGATAATAACGCAACAATACAACAATTAAGCGAAGCAAGAAAGGTATCAAAAGTGATTAATATGACATTGGCAGGAAAATATTCACTGTTAATCTATGTCTGCATACAGACTGTTACTTCAATTGCCTTTATGGGTAGTCAAACATTATTTTTTTTATATACTGCGAAAAAGTTTAGTTGGACTGCGGTTGAACAAGGATACTTTTTTTTTATGATGGGAGTGATACGATCCTTAATTTTGTTAGTTGTAATACCATTATTTGCAAAATATTTTAAGAT